ATGCCCCTGTTCACTGCGGGGGAGCAGGACTAGATGGCCTTTAAAAGTCCCTTGCGACTCTGAGGATTCTATGATTCTGTTTGCTTGGCATTGAAAATAAAACTGAGAGCCCTTACAAGTGCAGCAGAACAGTGCAGCCCTGGCAGCTTTTTATTACTAGGATTATGACTGAACTATTTTCCTTAATTTCTCCCTTTAGTCTTAGTACCTCAGTACTTACTTTAAAAATCGGAGTTGTTGTTCTCGCCCTATTGACTGTCCTACCTTAGAGCCAAATACAACTTCTGGTGTTCCTTCCTGTAAAGAAGACCTGCAGGGGAATGGGAAGAAGTCTGCCAGGTGGGTGCAGTGTCTCACTGACTGGCACCCAGCCACTCCCAGTGTCAGACTGGTCCCGGGGGAGCAGTAGATTGCTGGATTTCCTGTTCCAGTGGCTGCTTGTAGGAGCAACAGCTCCAAGGAGAAGAGTTGCTGAGAGGAGCTCTGTGAGTACAGACAGCTCTTCCACATTGCTGCTTAGAAAATTATTTTTGAGATCTCAGAATCAATGTAGTTTTCTTTACACATAGGCTGCATTCCCAGCAATTAAGTATTGTGCAAAGCAGATTGTCTCCAGAAACCTGTACAACCTCATAGTCTTGATGTTACACTGTGCTGGCATGTCTTCAGTCACATTACTTTCATAAGATCTGCACATACTCTGGAACATGATAAACAGTTCTGCCATGCTCAGAAGTAAAATCCAGCTTTTCCACACCCGTATTTGCTTTACAGAGGAGAAAATACTGCTGAGTGAAATGACATCATAGGTAGAGAGATGGTTTACAGACGAAAGCCTCAAGCAACTTGTCACTAAACCCAGGCCTTGAATTACTGCTGGAAATGGGCTGGGATGTAAATATACATGCATCCATATTCATTTTTCTCTCTGAGTTCAGAAAGATGATTTTTTTTTTTATCAAGTCCTTCCAGTTTTAATTCCATTCAATGATATTATTATTAATCTTAAGAAATGTAGAGCTTTTGGAACGGGTCCAGAGGAGGGCCACCAAGGTGATCAGAGGGCTGGAGCTCCTCTCCTGTGAGGAAAGGTTGAGGGAACTGGGCTTGTTTAGCTTGGGGAAAAGAAGGCTCCAGGGAGACCTCATTGTGGCCTTCCAGGACTTGAAGGGAGCTTATAAACAGGAGGGGGAACGGCTGTTTACGAGGGTGAACAGTGATAGGAAAAGGGGGAATGGTCTTAAACTAAGACAGGGGAGGTTTAGGTTAGATATTAGGAGGAAGTTTTTCACACAGAGGGTGGTGTCACACTGGAACAGGTTGCCCAAGGAGGCTGTGGATGCCCCATCCCTGGAGGCATTCAAGGCCAGGCTGGATGTGGCTCTGGGCAGCCTGGTCTGGTGGTTGGCGACCCTGCACACAGCAGGGGGTTGAAATTAATGATCTTTGAGGTCCTTTTCAACCCAGGCCATTCTGTGATTCTATGATTCTATGAAATACAGGCATTGTAAATAGTGCTGCATATAGCTAAAATTTGCAAAGTATTATTAGAAATAATAGAGTTGTATATTTTACAGATTCCTCTTGTAGATTTATAATTCCAATAACTTATATAAAAGATTGTCTTTGGACTCTGAGAAATGAGCAGTGCAAACACTAGCTATAGACAATTGTGGTTTGATGCGTGATTATTTCTTAAACAGCCCAGCACATTTGTGGTTGGCAGTCCTCCCCCTTCCATCCCCATGCAGAGAACCTCAGCCCTCCTTCATTTTCAGTGTGAAAAGAGGCTTCTGAGGTGGCTGTGCCAGGGTGAAAAGCAAGGCTGGAGACTTGGAGGAGATGATGTTGCTTGCTTGGGTCTACAGCTAGGGGAAAATTGCTTCCCCAGATGTTAGTTAAGTAAAGAGAGAGCAAGGAAGCATGTACTGTGAGGGAGCTGAAACACTGGGACTGAAGTGCCTGTGAGCATTGTGGATCCACACATCTTTGCTCTAAGACAAGCAGTTTGGGTACCAGGTGCAGGTTGGCTGTAGCACAGAGGGTCTCAGCACAGCAACTCTGTGTACTTGGCTGCTCCATCAAGCCTCTGCTCTTTTCTCTGAGCACAGGGAAGCCACCAGGAATTTAATCACATACAGTAGGCTTGAATCAGTAGGTAAATTCCATCGTGAAGGCATAAATGAATACTATGAATGTAAGTTACTTCTAAATGTTTTTCCTTACCTTTAAAGGGTTGACTCTTAAAGTGTGTAGCTATTCTATGTTTTCTACACAGGACAGAATTATAAGCAAGCTAAAATATCAGAAGAATTCATGTGTAAAGTATTTAAATGAGCAGAGGAAGACTTCTTCATCAAACTTAAAGCAATGAAGCTAAACATTTGAGAAGATAAAAATAGTATATCTATTCATCTGCTGGGTCTGTGAATCCACAAACAAATTCCTATTTTAAGAGGCTTTTCCTTTTCCTAGCTAGATTTACCAAACTTCAGTTTGTAAAAGGGTTTTGTTGTTGTTTTGTTTGGTTGCCAAAAGAGATTTCTTTAATTTCTGGAAATTTCATTCTGGTACTAATGGGAAGCATCATATTGTTCCTTCCTTGAGGGAAAAAATAAATAAATGCACTGAACTATAATCTCTTCTACAGCGTATTCAAGCAGTTACTTACATAGTTATTGCAAAGCCTATGAATGCAAAAGGACATATTTCAGCAAGTAACCTGTTTATCAGACATTTTCATTAAGTGCAAGTGTGTAGTGAGAAGGTGCAGTATTGGTTTAATACATCATCAAGATAGACAACATTTGAATGTACATGTTAATCTACATTTTTAGGAATTACAAATAAGACCACTATGTGCACAGTACTTTAAAAAGCAGTGAATTTCTTTTCTCGTTGCACTGGCAATGCCAGCACCTTACACAGTTGAATCTGGTTAAAATTCCACTCCCACTGCAATAAATGTGATACTAGAGGTACAACATTCACAGCTGAGATCATTAAGGCTCTGTTCTGATGACTGTTTATTTCTCTGTGCATGCTTCCTCTCCCCTCACCCCTTCTCCCTATTCTTTCCCTGCCAGCCCCACATATGCAGATATTTTTTGACATTGAATGAAAAGCTCAGAGTATTCAGGAAGAAAAGTTTAAAGTAAAGATTTTAACTTGAAAGTAATGTGAAATGTAGATTTGTAACAACAGCAATACCTGGTAGTTATATAGCTGTTTTCACCTCTGATTATTTTTGGTACGGCAGAAAAAAGCAGTATCCACATCCCATGGTGCTAAACACTCTACAACAGATATCACACACAGAACAGAGCCCAGACCAGAGATCACACAGTCAGATTGGGTCTCAAAGGTCCTTGCGAATGCCAGGAAGAACGATTATCTCAATTCTTGAGATACAGATGAGGCACAGAAAATGCAAACGCCTTGCTCAGAAACACACAGTGACCCAGAAGTAGGCTTTGAGTCTATTGACTCCTAAGCCTCTGATTTATTCACTGGTCCGTTCTGTATTCTTAAGCAGCCAAGAAATCTTTTGAGATATACAACATGGGTCTGGTACAGTAGGGTAATCAGTATCAAATGCACACAACCTGATTCTTCACTCGCTTTTGGCATCTGTAGTCATTTACATTTACTTAAAGAGTGCCTGAACCACCCTCAAACAAAAATGGAACTGCTGTAAATGACTAAAAAGTGTAGTTTAATAGAGAATAAGACTCACAGCAATTGCTGTGTGGCATGGTGTGACTAGAATTAGCTAACTGTTTTAATTGCTCATGAATTAAGGCTGATCCCTGTTTATATTAAGGCCTCTGTACCTTTCTATGACAGTATAACTGGGCCTCAGTGCAAGTAAGACTCAGGCTATTGAAAAATTAACCTTTCAGTTCCTTTTGAAGTCAATAATTTTAGTGGCCCTAAATGAATAAATTAACTGGAATCAAACAATTTGCATTACTATTTACAAAAGGATTGCTAAAAGACTTAAAGTAATCTGAAGGAAAACTGATTCTATGTTTGTTGAAGAAAAAATTAAGATTAGATAAACTTGTTCTGGTGTCAAAAACAGAGAACTGTAGCCTGATATATCTTCATATGAAGATAACTGACTTAATGTTCAGAGGTTGTGAGTATGCCCAGATAAACTGTGGGTGCTTATCAACTCTGGAGATCAAGTCATCTTATTATAGCACTAGAGATAAAAAAAACACATAGACTTATTTGGTATTTAAGTGCTACACATATAGGGCATAGTTTGTGTAAAGCTACTGTAAGTTATATTCAGAGAAGTAGTAGGAAGATGACCTCAAGCTCAGCAAAATGCTACACGACCACAGATTTTTCCTATTATTATTATTAAAAGCTACTGTGTGTTGCTCTCTTAGAATAGTGCTTCTCCAGCTTTCTGTTTGTAGCCAAGTATTAACTGAGAAATCCTTTCCTCTTCAAACACTCTAACAATTTTGGCTTTAAAACTTTTATTTACATTTACTGGCTGAGACCAAACTAATCCTTACTCTGCTAAAATTCAGACCCTGGAACCCCACGGGTTGCAGCACTTGAACATTTATTTTTACTTCTAGATAGAAGTAGTTCTATTTTTTAAAGCTAATATGGAACGTACTTGTGTAAATTAACATAATTCTTTAGGTATCGGTGTGGCTGTGATCATCATCCAGCTGAGGACTTGGCTTCCAAAATGGAACTCAAGTAGTTGGGTAACCTGTTTTGTACAGTACTCAAAAAGCAGCTGGATCACATGTGAACAATGAAATGTTTAGTTTCATTGGAAATTCAGAAAATATTCAATAGTAAATTTCATTGTTAAATTTCATTGCTTCTATTCCCCTTTTCGATATACAAATAAATCACCTTTTCTAAAACATTCTTTTTCTTTAGTAAGGCTTGTATTCATAGTCATATCAAAAGTCATATCCATGCTATTGGAACATTCTTTCAACTTGCTTTATTTAGTTATTGTTCTTATGAAATTCTACAATGCACTAAACTTTAATGTTGATAAGCAATGTTGCACTTGAGTAAAGAATTGCATTAAAAAAGTAGAAGGTGTGATATTTTCCTGTTCAAAACTAAGGCAGAATGAATGAAAGTAAAAAGCTCGTCTCATCCTCACCTAGCAAGGCTTGTTTTTAAACTGTACTCAAAATACAGAGCCCAAGAGAGGATGTTGTCTTAATGATTATTGCCCTTTCAATGTGTCTCGCTATAGGATTAATGTTTCCTTTAGCAATATATAATTTCTTTTCCTGAAGACCACACAGTAATTGTACTCTCTAAAAGAAAAAAAAATTTAAAATTCTATGAAGTTATGAATTAGATGGAAGGATACAAAAGCAAGTTACCATTCTGTGATTCAGCTATGTCATGATCTAATATTGTTTCAGAATTATTATTCTGGCTTTAGGTTGGCGTCATCTTCTGAACACCTGATGTGCTCTTTGGCATGCTACAAATTCAGCAGATGCACTGTCTTCTGGGCTTTACAGCTTCCTCTGATGAATGTACAACATTTGGAACAAAGCCACTCTTAACACCTTCCCATCCATCTTGTATTGTGATTTCTCCTTTTTTTACAAGTTCATAGATGTCTCGTGTCAGAATTGTAAAGGACTCTTCGACATTTGTGGCATCTTTTGCTGAGGTTTCTATGTATTTCATACCACAGTCAGATGACAGTTTTTCTGCTTCTTCTCTTGTAACCTCACGCTGTGACACTAAGTCACATTTATGTCCAACTAACAGAAATACAATCTGAAAGGGCTGCACGTGCATTTTTGCTTCTTCCAGCCAGTCTTTCACATGTTCAAAAGATCGTCGATTGGTGATGTCGAAGACCAGCAAGCCGCCGACAGAATTGCGATAGTAAGATCGTGTTATTGATCTGCAGAGAAAAAAACAACGAACAGAAAAGGGAAATTAAAATACATCTTCACTTCGTTTGGAAACAGGATACTTTTCCACTGGGCAGTTTTGTTAAATCTACTGTAAGTTTATGAAATATCTTTGCTGTTTTTGAAATTGATTGGAATTTATTAACTTTTCCACACTTAAATGCTCATTTTTCATTTTTTCTTATATGCAAAAGTCACTTTCTAAACATTCTTGAAGTCAACATTTTGGGTGCCAATTTTGAATGCTGAGTATTCTGAAAACACTCTTTGTTAGCAAACTGTTGCAAGTGTTCACAAAATAATACTTACATACATTTTGTCAAATGCTTGTTAGCCTTAACCTCCGACTCATCCAGTTTCACACAAACATTCATTTAACTTCGTTCTAATCGGTTATTTCAAAATAAAATATTTAGGCTAATGTCCACAAACCTGAATCCTTTTGTATTCCTTATGGACAAATTGTTTGACCACAAGAACTGTACAGGTAATCCCTGTTATTTGTGCTTGCAGAGGTCATCAGGTAACATACTAAGAAAGGAAATTCCCCAGCAGCACTACACAAAATTGGCTGAGCTGGGCACAAACTTTTTACAGCATGGACAAAACAAATTCTGCTTCCAGCAGATCTTTCATGTGAAGGTTGAAAAGCTCTTTATTAATTGCATTTACTCTTTTTTTGGCAGGAAACTCCCAAGAGTAGTGACGTTTTCTACTTTTCAGCTCACTCTGTTCCAGACCATTCACTAGAATTAATTTTGGAAGGAGATCCTTTCTCTGAAAAGATTTTGAATATGTTCTAGAAGGGAAAAAAAAAAAAGATTTTAGGTCTCTAATCACCTTAGGAAAAGGTGAGAAGAGACATTTTAAAGAACATGATTGGCTACCTAGGACTGGATGCAAACATTAGTTACATAAACATACAGCAAGGTGTATGTGTACGTTTTTCCAACTGAAATGGGACAGAAAATCTATATGGACAGTCATTTTTGAAATAATAATATATTCAAGAATGAACCATTTTATCATATGATTACGGAGAGAATGCAGCTCCAGAACATTTTGAATTGGGATTAACTCTACACAACAACAAATATCTTCCTTTTAAGGAGCTCCCTCTCATTTTCAGTTAATCACATCTCATGCAGCGTTTTCTAACAGTTTGAACACTGAAGTATAATTAGGAGCAGTAGTCACGTTACAGATAGGTAAGTGCACAGATAAGGCTTAGATTTCTCAACATAACTTCATTTAGTCACAGCAAACTGCATTTGCAATTGTTTGATTTAGGTAATATGGAGGGTTTGTTTTCCAAATATTTCAGAAAGATCTTTTCTGCATTCCCAGCAACAGCCCATGGAGCAGGTCTGCAAAGAGTCTGAATGTGAACACAACACAAGCTTACCCTCAGATGGATTCCAACAGCCTGGATATGAAAAGTGACCATAAATAAAGCGTGTTGTATTTTGTGAAGTATTGAATAAAGATACCACAAAGATCAGTTTCAGGTTTTCTTAATTGGTTTTTGTTGGTGGGTTTGGGTTTTTTTTTTTTTTTTTTTGGCAGTAGAGAAGTTGCAAACATAGATGAGTAAATCCAAATAACTCAGGTGATTTTAGAGAAAAAATGCGTGACAAAAATGGGATCTGGTTTGGAACAGTGGAAAGCAGACTAACCAATTTTAAAGAAAAAAATAACATGGCATAACATTTATGCTTTAGAAATGTATGAGCAGTTGAAGTAAAATTAGTAAGTGAAGTAAAAAAAAAACTGAAAAAGCAATGCATTATCTACTGAGCATTTTTATGTGGAGTTATGCTGTATCATGTGTTGCTGTGTTGATGTGTTTTAAAAAGGTGTTCCTCAGCAAACTTTATCTGATGACTGAAAGAAAAACCCTCAATACGAGGCACTTTTCTCCTACAGCACAGTAGATCTCAGTGATCATAAAGACCAGGAAACAAGGATTTCTGACTTGGCTACAACACTGCAGACTGGAAAAGAGAAAACTTGATGGAGATGTGACAGAGGTATAAAAAATCATGAGTGCCCCAGACAGAGCAGATAAATATCCACAGTTAAGGCTTCAAGTACAAAAGCCCAGGGTTGCCAAATGTAGCTAAGAGTCAGATTTGAAAGAAATAAACAAACAGAAAAAAGGGCTCTCTAAGCAACAGCTGGTGGGCTTGTAGAACTGCTTGGGAAAGATGTTATGAATGCAAAAAGGCTATCTGTATTCCACAGCAGACTGAACAAGCACTGAACAAGAGGCTGATGGGGTTTAGTAAATAGACAAACTGCATCACTCAGGAAATCCCTCAAATTGAGTACAGTCTAGCAGAGCACTCCGGAGAATTCAAAGACTCTATCAGAAACAAGGTACCAAGCACAGACCTTAGACAAAACCAGACTGGCCCTCTCTGTTCTTTCACAAGCAGAGAATCCACTGACATCATCATACTCTTTGGTAAATGCTGAAACATCAGTTTCTAAAAGCAAGCTGAAGTTTTTAACTCCATTACTTGTCATTTTCTTAGAAGAATGAACTTCATGGTCCTTCAGGATCTCCAGGTCCTCCAAGTTCTTCAGGTCAGGATGAGGAGCTGGTGACAAGTGAAGTTTGATGTTACCCAGCTTACACATAAAGGATGTTCAAATTTCCACTGCTCCAGTTATTTCCATGCCGATCCTAAATTATTCTAGAAATAACCTCTTCCCATGTACAGAGCATTTTGATTCAGCTACTTACACATCTTAAAACTAGCATTGTGGAAGGGAATGTGTTACTGGCAGCACCATAATTCATTTTCTGTGGGAAGGGAGGGAGAGGAGAGTATTTCCTTTAGCAGAGTGAAAGCCTTCAGCTAGGGACAGGGTGGGATCAGGGTGAAAAAGTAATGCTGAAACAGCAGCCTTCCTTCTAAAATGGGGAAGATGGCAACGGTGTAAGGATGGCCCTTACTGCAGACCCTTCAGAGGAGATGCTGGCTGGAAGTGGGAAGCAGAACTAGCTGTGTATTAGGAACCTGGCAGATCTGCCTGTGACTTTGATTGAAGGTAGACTGAACCCTTCAGCCCAGCCCTGCATCTGTCTTTATGCACGTGTCTTATCTTTCTGCCTAAAGCTCTTTGTTTTTCTTCTGCTGTTTGAGCCTGCCACTGCTGCCTTTTCTCCCTGCTTCTCTGTCATGGGAGACTCTGAACCCTACCTTCTCAAGGCCGTAGTTAATGGATGTGCCCAAACCAGCCTGTCTGTGTGTGCCTTTGTCAGAGGAGCAAGCTGATATTGTTTCAGGAGGGAGCCTGCCTTCTTCCTGTGCACTAAGTGAAGGGAAGCAGCTTTCCTGCTCTGTAGAGCTGAATGGGGATTTGTGTGGCTGCACACTCCTCGCATCGCATCGGCCTGTTCATGATGGGTGTGTGCTACAGTGCATGTTAAATGCCTAACTAATTATATCATCTTTATCTGATAGGAACAAAAATCGATACAAGCATTATTGAAAAGGCAATTCTTGTTTTCTCCCCTCCTCCTTGTACATAACATACAGGTTACAAAGTCCCTTGTAACTTGGAACAGTGCTCCCATGCCATTATTAAATATGGAAGGCCACCGAGTAATTTTGTTTCTGAAAATCAATTGGAAGATGTATTAATCACATCAGCCTATGACTTTAGGATGACTTTAATTCAGTCACAGTGTTTCTTCTCATTATGATCCTACTGATCTTTACCAGATGAACCAAACTTTTTCTAAAAGCTTTATCTAATTTTGAATTACTTTTATTCCAGGACTAAAGACTACACTGCAATGGTAGTAAGTTTGAAAATACATGTAGCTTCCTCAGGAAGAAGTAAAAGGATAATTTTATTTTCAAGGAATGTATTAGAAACAGAATGTTTCTAGTTAATATAATGGTATACTAAAAAGTGAGTTAATTTAACTGAAGAATGCCCATAGTAGTATGTCTCTAATTTCCTGAAATAAACTCTCAATCTTTGCAGCACTGCCTTGTAAACTCAGTTCCATTATTTAAATTAACTGTGTTGCATTTAAATACAGGAAAAAAACAAACAAATCACAGCAAAGCAGATGTGACACACATTGACCAAAGCAGTGGGCTGCTCTAAATAACAGCTAACCTCCCTCAAAAGAACCTTAAGAAGAACCGGGTGAATCCCTGATTTACCTTCGTCTCCCTTACAGACCCGAGGACTAACCAAGTCTGCAGGTGCTTTGCAGTAAACTGTTGGAGGCACTGATCATCTTGTTGTCTGTATGGCAGCTGGCACAATGGGAGCTTTTGTTTAGTGATGCCTCACTGCTATCAAAGTATATGCCATAAGTAACTGCACTGGCAGAGCAATATAGGAAAACTGTGCAACACCAGCATTTGCAGTTTGCTTAGCCTTCTTTTGGAAGCATTAAGAATTACTGCATGTGATCAGTAATGCAAACAATGTGTGTTAAGGATTATTTCTAAGAATATGCATGAAATCCAGTTCAAATACGGTGGGATCAGTTAACTAGACGCAGGTAAGAACTTTTCCAAAAGAATTTCCCCAAGAAAATAAGTGCTGTATTTCAGGAGGGTGTGATGGCAGGTGTGTCCCCCCTCACTTGTCCCTGGGCGTCCCGATGTCCCAAGAGGTGGGCATTGTTACACAGCCGGCTTTTGGCACTGCACACAGGGAATTCCCCAGGGGTTTTTCAGACAGGTTTTGCCCCCATCTGAAGTACCAGCACAAGTGAACCAGAGCAGAACTGGGAATCTGAACTGCAGGCTGCTTCGCATTCCACAGAATTAGGTTACTTCTCAGAATAATTAGTTCTTCCCCAAGACAATCCTTGCTTGTGATCTGCACTCTTCTCCATCAGCAGAGAACAGAATATGCAAGTTTTTAACCTGTAGTGTATAATTTAGTAAAATATTTATAGTTTTCTTGAGCAAGCATAAAACAGACTTCACAATAAATGCTATGGCATTTGCTACAACAACTGACAAGAAGCTCCTAGCAGAAAAACAAACACAGATGTTTAAAACTGCTCCCTCCAGTTTGTAACTGCTAGGTATTAAAAAAACACAGATGTACACCAGAGGTAGATGTTAAAGCAGCTGAGTGCATGACTCATCACTGCATATCCCCCGAGCATTCACAGTGGCTATCATCTGAGTTAAAATGTATGCTAAACCCCGTATTGGCATTCTTTTCAGCCAAGTGCCTTGTCATTGGCCATCCCGGCTATTTGTCAGCAAATTCAAAATGAAGAGATTACACTTCCTTAGTCACTTGTTTACAAGTATTTCACGTTCTTTGCTGGAAAGCACTGAGGATGAAAAATGCTAAGAGCTTGCCATGATCACTGTCATTTCTTTACTGACCCTTCAGAGTCCTGCCCGCCCAGAGACATGTAAGCCTGTGACTCATGCCTGCCTGAGAAAGTTTTTTTGTTTCACTGTAGTGCTTGAACAAAAGGGTTTGCATCCCCTGGCAAGAGGCTGAAATCCCACCTTCACCAGAGTGCCAGCATCTGCACAACTGTTGCAGAGGAAGACAGAGAACAGAAAGGGCTCTGTTCTCATCAGTGAGAGACCCGCTCCAACCCTATTGCTAAACCCCATAAGAAGAGTGTGGGTTAAGCATGTATCAGGACAGTTAGACTATCTTCTAGCTTGAATTCACATTTACTGAACCCTAGATCCAAACTAAAACCCATGTAAAAATTACTGCCTGTTTTTGACAGAGAGGAGAAAAAAAAAAAAAAAAGGATTTGGCTCTCAGTGCAGCATTTCAGCTACACTGAAAATGACCAGAGCATCAGTGAAGGCTCCTAGGAGCCATCTGTGCCAGGCAGGTGCAGAAGGCAGAAGAAACCCTGGGAGGGGACTGTCCCTTGCTGCCCCGTGGCTTTGGCAGTGCCAGGGCTGCACTGGTGCTCACAGTGCTGCGGTGCTGCAGAAGGAGCAAAGCAGGAAGGTGGCCTGGCCTCTCCAGTTTGCATGGGAAGGAGCAGAAATGCAGTAGGGAGGGTGAGTTCTGATGACAACGTAAGAAATGGAGAGGAAAGTGGGGATCACTAGCTGGAAGAAGGAAAAGATTCTGGGGAGGGTTTGCTGTGCTAGGTTCAGGACTTTAGGGCAAACCTAGTAGAGTGAACTGTGAGGGAAAGAACAGCTGAGAAGGGGAAGGTTGCAGAAGGAGGAAGCTAAGAGGGGAATCAATGGGCAGTAGGATGAGAGCAATGGTAAGCAATAGGGTGAGGGTAGAAGTAGGTGGTGGGGTGAAAACAATGGTGGGCAGTGTCGTGAAAGTGATAGTGGGCAGTGGAGTGGGGGTGACAGTGGGCAATGGGGTGAAGGTGATGGTGGGCACTGGGGTGAGAATGATGGTTTGTAGTGGGGTGGGAGTGACGGGCAGCAGGGTGGGGACACAGGAGGGCGGCAGACAGGGATCTTTGGGGTACAGCAGCCGAGAGGCAGGGAGTGAAACGGGCCGGGGGAACGGCAATGCATCCGGGGCAGTGTGGAGGGACGGGAGCACGGCGCCGGGGCCAGGGGCTGCGGCGCTGGGCGTGCCGGAGGCCGGCGGCCGGCGACGGCGACGGCGACGGCGGGATCCCCTACCTGAAGCGCTCCTGCCCCGCCGTATCCCAGAGCTGCAGCTTGACCCTCTTGCCAGGCTCGATCTCCACCAGCCGAGAGAAGAAGTCTACCCCCACGGTGGGGTCGGAGTGCAGCGGCCCGGGGAAGCGGCCCTCGGTGAAGCGGTGCAGGAGGCACGACTTGCCCACGGTGGAGTCGCCCAGCACGATCAGCCGGAACTGGTAGATCCAAATCGCCGCGTCCATGGCGGCCCCGGCCTCGCCCGGCTTGGCCTCGGGCTTCTCGCGGGGGCTCCTCCGCGGCCGGTGCCTGCACCGCGCTCCGATCGCCCCAACGCCCGGCATGGGCGCGGCGGAGGGCGCGCGGGGCCCGGCCGGGGGCAGGCGGA